GAGGAGCCGGGGATGCAGGAGTAGCAGCGTCACCTTGACGGGGCGGATAGGACTTTACCCCGTAACTTCCTCGCGACGCTGACGCACGGCCTCGGGACTGTTTGCCGATACCAGACACTCCTCGCCGGACGGGCTCCCAACCCATTTCCGCGGCTAGGCAGAATTTAAGCCTCATCCCAGAAGGTGCAAAACCGGTAGGCGACTTGCACTACCCAGCCCCGAGGCAGCCCCTTGCCTCGAGGCACCCGGGCGCTGGCAGGAAAGCAGCTATTTCCCGCCAGGCTGGCCTCAAGCACGCAGCAATTTTAACGCGAGTGCTTTGCGACGCCGGTTCGGAGCGAGACCCGACGCTGTGGACTGCCCACAACTCCCTCCTCGCGTTTCCAAAGGGCTCCACCAATATTTCACGCTTCCCACGCTCCTTCCTTCAGCCACATGCCGAGATGCAAAGATAGGAGAGAAACATCCCTTGAAAGGCAGCCAGGGCGGGCGGCTGAGTTACAGGTTATCCCCGCAGAGCTGCGCTGTGGTTACCCTGCTCCCTACAGATGCTTTGGGAGAAAAATCTGGTTTAAAATACAGGCGGCTTCTCCACGCCGGAGAGGAAGCGCCGAGATACGAGGGACCGTGCTCTCGGCCTCGACGCTTGCGCCGTCGGCCCCACAGCAAGATTGCCTCTGCACCCAACCGCCGGCAGGAAGGATGCTTAAGAAAGCCGGGCTGATGCAACCAGCCCAGCATCCCTCCTCTCCTGCCCTTTCCGAAACGTCCCTGTGACCGCAACTCCTCTGCCCGCATCGTCCCTGAACGCGGCCCCTCCACCAGACGCGAGCGCGTCGGGCGGCAGCCTGCACCTCCTCGCCCCGGCTCTTCCAGCCGGAGCAACCAAAGCAGCGGACGGCTTTGCCCAAGGATATTGGATCCATGGGCTACGTGCATCAAAAAAGATCCGATTAAAAGGCAGCACTTGAGCACAGCTTTGCTCTAGCCGAGCTCCGGCGACTTCCAAGCTGTGCACCTCACCGGGGAAATCGAGCTGCCCTGGACCGCTCGCTCTGCCCATCCGCCGGGACCGCAGAGGAGGCTCCTCCCGCCTCCGCGGGAA